CTAGTCACAACTGAGGACAACATGTTTATCAATCATATTTTAAAAAGAAATTGAAACAAAATTGAGAAATTTTAGAGAAATTAATTTTTGTAATATTCAGACCTAACCCGATCAAAATTAAACTGATCCTGATCAAAATTTAGGGCTGGGACGATATATCGAGACATTGATATATCGTGATATCTTTGAGGACAATACGCATATCGATACATATGAAGAAATATCGAAATATTGCCCAAAAAAATCTTACTTCTGATTTTCTTTGTTTATTTAACATTTGGGATTTAATATACTAAATAAATAAGCTAAATATAAATATAGATATGAAATAAATAATGATTAACACCACTTGAGTAAAATATTCCAATTTTACAACATATTAACATCTATTTTGAATAAATTATTCTTATTTGCAAAGAAATAATTTGTTTATTTCAATGCAAAAATGTTTTATAAGCAATTAAACATATCATGAAACATATCATATCGTGGCTCAAATATTGTGATATGTATCGATATAGAAAAAGTTGTATCGTCCCAGCCCTATCAAAATTAACACAAAATGAATAAAATGCTAATTTATTGCCTCTTCATGTATTTACAATGAAGAAATCTATTTTATTGTCAAGTTCAATAATGTTTTAACCCTTATTACACCTAATCAGACTAGTGTTCTTGGGAAAATGTTATTTATTTCCAATAATTGTACAATTATGGTTGGAATCGGTTTAATTTTGATCGGGATTGGCCAAAATTAAAAAAATTAATTTCTCTAAAATTTGGCCATTTCGTTTCAATTTCTTTTATAAATATGATTAATGAACATGTTCTCCCCAGTTGTGACTGGTTTTAAGAAGATTTTAACCACAAGTTTAAAAAAATATTTACAAATTATGTGTTTTTTTTCATAAAATATTTTTTTATTTAAAAATTTTTAATATCTTTAAATACGGCTTTTCTTTACATATTTTATTAGGTATTCATGTGATGCATTCATTTACAGCAAAATTTTTACAACAAAGCATCTAATTTGGATGTAAATAATTTTTCACATTTTCTTTGAAAAAATACAAAAAAAATTCATATAAAATAATTCAGAGCTAATGTCGGCCTTTCAATGCTGAAACCATTGTTTTAAAAGGTTGACTCAGAGATCTATAAAATAAAAAGTTGGTGTGGCATTCCTCCTTATGTACATATATGATATGGTTACTTAATAAAACAAATTCATATTAAACATATATTCAAACTTTTGATTCTGAACATCTAAAAAATTTAACAATTTAGAGAAAAAAATCAGACCTGACAAAAACCAAGGCATATACTGCAATATTTCAGCAGGGGAAAGAGAATAACGCTGCATATGGGTAGGGCACAGTATTGCATGTCCACTAGTGTACATCATACAAGCTGTGACTTTGTTCTTGTTGTAAACATCTGTATACTGTGAGCTTGTTCCCTTTACATAAGGCAGGGAATACCACACACTGCACATTGGAAGTGCCGATACTTGAAAAGATTCCGTGAATCCTGATTTTCTTTTCAAGTACAAATAATTTTCTTCTTTCTTTTCCACAAAAGCCAGCATGTTTAACAGCCATCCATACTGAAATTTCTTAAATTGTAAGTCTTTGTTGGTACCATAGATCTTGGACTTAATTAAATGGGGCATAGATTCTGAAGGGAACCTAACTCCTCTCAGCATCTTAATACATAGAAAAGACAGGCTTGGCACTTCCCTCAACACAATGATTTGTTTCCCCTGGATTTCAGACACAACTTCTTGGATATCTTCCTCAATGCTAAGTCCACAGTTCATAAATGGCAGAATTTGATCACAGTAGGTCATCTGATATCGTCTTTTGCGTTTCTGCTTTTTACTTGGAGCTCTGTGTCGACTGTTTGTCTGTGAGGGATAATTCATAAAAACTACTTCATTTTGTAAATTCATCTCATCTACAGCTTCCTCCAAACTCCCTGTAGATTCTTCCGAGTCCATTTCTTCCTCAGCTGAGTAATATGAACTCCCTGAATCGTATTCTTCTTCTTGTGCTGATGATGCTGATGATGAAGAGAACTCCTTGTCTTTTTCCTGATCGTTAGCCATGTTAGCCTTACTTGCCTCTTGCTCTTTGCGGGATTCTTTCTGCAGCTGCTTCTTCTTTCTGTTTGGCATTTTGGTTTCATTTTTAAATTCCCATGACACCATGCGGGCATACTCTGGCCTCTTCTTTGCATGTTTGATTAGATCTTTTAACAAATCTTCATTTTCATCCATTTTATAACCTAAAACAGTGTATCTTATAGGAAATTAATATGATTATCACTCTGTAATTTTTTTCAATAAAAAAGATATAGAATTATAGCTATATAGAACAAGAGGCCCATGGGCATTATAGGTCACCTGAGTATCAAGTAACAACTTTCCAGCAATTGAATTTGGTTCGTATTATAAAAAACCAATAACCATGAAATTCACAATTTTGAAAGTGGCACCATTGTTCATCATAATTATACATTAAGCATGTTTACTTTGGTTACTTAATACATTGTACCCAGAGGTAGATCAGAGAAAGAGAAAATGCCTTTTCACTTTATAATCACCATTTGTGCCATTTGTGCACCCACTCCCCACAGAAACCACTGACCCTGGGGCCAAATATTTCAAAACTTTGGAAATTTCATCTTAAATTTTATTTGATCATAAATTGTTGATTAATATCAAAGTGCAGATTTCAAACCATTAATTTATTTTCAGATTATGTAACCCTCCCCCCTCCAAATACCTCTGACCCAGGGGCCCGGAAATTAATCCATTTAGGAAGAGGCAGCTTTCTTCATCATAAATATGTACTTATATCATTGGCATAATACCCAGGAGCAAAGGAAACGATTTTCAAAGAATTCATGCATTTTCATTATATAAACATCAGAGCCCCGTCCTAACACAAGAAGCCCTGACCCAGGGGCCATGAAATTCACAAATCTCAAAGAGGCATCCTTCCTCCTCATAATTATGTACATAGTTCATTGGTTTAATATCCAGGCGCAGAAAAGAAGATTTTCAAAGATGATTTGTAAAGAATTAATGCATTTTCACTATATAATCAATAGAGCCCCATCCTAACACCAGAACCCCTGACCCTGGGGCCATGAAATTCACAATTTTGGAAGAGACAGCCTAATTCAACATAACTATGCACTTGGTTAGTTTATTTAATGCCCAGGAGCAGAGAAGAAGAATTTCAAAGAATTCATGCATTTTCACTATATAATCTATATAGCCCCACCCTAGCACTAGAACCCCTGACCCTGGGGCCATGAAATTCACAATTTTGGAAGAGGCAGCCTAATTCAACATAACTATGCACTTGGTTAGTTTATTTAATGCCCAGGAGCAGAGAAAAAGAATTTCAAAGAATTTACGCATTTTCACTATATAATCTATTTAGCCCCACCCTAGCACTAGAACCCCTGATCCTGGAAGAAGCAGCCATATTTAACTGAACTATGCACTTTGTTAGGTTATTTAATGCCCAGGAGCAGAAAAGAATAAATTCAAAGAAATAATGCATTTTCACAATATAATCTATTTAGCCCCACCCTAGCACTAGAACCCCTGACCATTGGGCCATGAATTTAACAATTTTGGTAGAGGACTTATTGCTTATTACAATCATACCAACAGTTTGAATGCTTGATGTCCAGGAGTAAAGAAGAAGATTTTTAAAGATTGCACTAATTTTAGTGGTTTTGGCCCCACCCCCAAGACCCCAGGGGGGCCAGGGACCATGAAATTCACAAGTTTTGTTCCCCTTTACCAATAGATGCTATATGCCAAAATTGGCTGAAATTGGTTCATTGGTTTCAGAGAAGAAGCTGAAAATGTTCAAATGTTCGATTTACTCAGGTGACCTAAAAATGTAGATATCTTTCTTAATATATTAGTATTGCTTGCTTTTAAACAATGTAATTTAAGTGCAAATTACATGAATTAAGGGGATAATTATATTCTCTGTTGAGAAGTAAATGGTTCGTTAATAACCCTCCCACCCCCACCCCTCAAGTGTCCAGGAGACAGCAGACGGATCATCTTCTTCTCAGTAGAGAATGGGAAAATAATACATATACATATGTAACCTGGCTTTAACATGTTTCATGCACTTTGAAAATTAATTGAAAGAAAAACAAAATAAATTCATCCTGCAAAAAGGAATATACCTTACAAGATTCCCTCTTATGTTCTCTAAACTCTTGAAACTAGCAAACAGAAACTATTTCCGTTTTTTTGTTTACAACCGGTTACTTGCACCCGATTGCGCAATCATCGCCTTTGATAGAACAACGATCCCGACCTCTAAACCGATCAGGAACAAAATTGCAAACCATTTCTTTTTTAAACAAATAATTATTGATTAATTTTTTTATTTGAAAATTGCAATTAGTATTATGCCTAACTTTCATTGATGATCATCATTCTTTTTACTTGGTAATTACACTTTATTAAACTATATAGAGCACTTTTAGTGATATTTAAGGAATCACTGTATGGTATGCAAGGGCATCAACGATAGTGGGCGAAGCCCGTTATGCATACATTATCCCGCATTTCCCACTATCGCATGGCAGTGGTATATGTGCATGTAAGCTAATATGTGAAGACATCGACAATAGCGAAATAAAAATCGTCATGATTACCAAACAAAATTAAGATTTAGAAATTTTATTTATTTATCCCTTTGCAATTTAAACTTCCCTACTAAATCATTATTTCCAACAATACCCCGTTTGCACTTTTCCATTATTTCAAATAATCAATTTTTATTTCTTGTCATGCTCAAGATCAAGCTCGTATAAAATAAAATGCATATTGCTAACAATACTTTTTCAATTCAACATCAAGCTAAATAAATTATAAACAGAGTTTTATGATACCCCCCCCCCCCCCCCCTCTTTTTCAACAAACATTTGATTTAAATTACACATTGAGAAAATGATTTGTAGACTGCAACCTTTTGCCTGTATGGAATATATGCCACCAGTGTCTTCACGTAAAAGGAGGAAAGAGCACTATGAAAGCAGCAGAGGAGAATGAGCTGTCTTATTCATTTCTATAGAGACGACGGACAGTTGAAGTAGACACATATAAAGTGAAAGGACAACCTCCAATATTTAATAAATCAGAATACTGGTATTTAGTCTACTGTGGATGTTAGAATGGAGAAATCCAGCAAATGAATCCCAACATCATTATTTGTAAAGTTGTCTCTGCTCATTGGAGGAAATCTAGGTGTTGGGTTTCGACATTTTGAAAATATAATTGTTCCTTTCAGCTTTAGGTATCTCTGAAGCCAGGCTCGTAGGAAGCAATTTCAGTTGGTGGGGGAGAGGTGCAGAGCCATACATTTTCAGTTGAGGAGGCACTATATCAACCACCAAAATTCCTTGACAATTAATTAATCAAGCATAAAAAAGATCATCGGACTTTTTTTTTTTCGAGGGGGCACAATCATATATCTAGCGATATATTTTCTATTTAAATAGCGGCAAAATTATGAGGAGGGGGCGTGGTAGCTCAATAAGTACAATTCTTGAATCAAAAATTAATTCTTCGGCTGTTTGCAGTTCATCACATATAGTTTTTACGTCCTCTGATATCAACTAGTCATCTGTTTTCCCTTTGATTTCATTGTTGTTGTTTTTGCATTAATTGTCGGATGCAAACAACTCAAAAAAATTCCTAGCTTTTCTACTTTGGGGGTGGGGGGGTTGAAATATTTTAAGGCATAGTAAAACGTTACGTAATAAGGGTATTTTTAAATTTACACGGTCCCGAACCAGAATAATCAGCTTTATGTCACGTGATTCGGTAATGGAGAAAATGATCCGGTAAAGGAGAAAACATCATTCATACAAGTACAGCGATAATTTTTTATTTAATCAGTGGTTATTGGGGAAATATATATGATGTTATAAGTAAAACATAGTACCAATAAACAATGTTGTAAAATGAATTTAACTCAAACTCAGGTACGAAATATCCAAGCAAATTGACTAAGTGATTCGATATCGGCAACCTCACTGTAGTCCTGATTAAAGATTTGATTGCTTATTCTTTATTATGTGTATAGAAGATTTTTTATATGGAATATTTATCACACTATAATGATGATTTTATAACCTCATAAATTTTTCATTTCACATGCTGAATACTATCATTTAGTAAAAAAAAAAGTATTTAAAAAAAAAAAAAGAAAGGATCGACCGAGATTCGATCCCGTGTCCTCTAACATTTGAAGCGAGAGACATAACCACTAGATCACGGAATCGCTTTACGCGGTGTGAAGTATATGCAGAACTGAAGTCACATGCATGTATATATTCATGTTTTCATGTTCGGTATTCTCAAAATTTTACACAATCCATGGTGTTTGATTTATTTAGCCTTTATTAAACAGTTCTAATAGATGTAATAAGAACATAAAGTCCGCCGAGAACCTGTTTTATACGCAATAACTCTCCTCATGCCCCTGCGCTAAAAATAGCAACAATTAATACTATAAATACTAATAAAACAAGCTAATTCAGAGAATTCGTGTCCCCCGCTTAGGGAAAAAGTCGGCTCCCCCTGACTGAATTTGTAGAATTATTAAATGTATACATGTATACTGAAGGAAATAAAATACATGTATGTCAATATGCATATAAAGATTTGATTGCTTATTCTTTATTATGTGTATAGAAGATTTTTTCATATGGAATATTTATCACACTGTAATGATGATTTTATAACCTCATAAATTTTTCATTTCACATGCTGAATACTATCATTTATTTAAAAAAAAAAGTATTTAAAAAAAAAAAGAAAAAAAATAACGGTCCGACCGAGATCCGATCCCGGGACCTCTCACATTGGAAGCGAGAGACTTAACCGCTAGACCACGGAGTCGCTTATTATGCAGAGTGAAGTATATGCAGAACTGAAGTCACATACATGTATATATTTAAGGAATCACTGTCTAGTTTTGAGAGTATGCCAGGGCATCAACAATAGTGGGAAACATGGGATAATTTGCATAACGGGCGAAGCCCGTTATGCTAAAATTATCCCATGTTTCCCACTATTGTTGATGTCCCTGGCATACTCTCATAACTAGACAGTGATTCCTTATATTTCCATTTCATTGTGAAATAAAATTGTTGATTTAGGCTTTAAAAATGCAGACATAGATTTAAATTACACGAGGATTCCCATCCCAAATTTAGTAGACCTCGCCGAACACAACAGCAGCCGCACGAAATTTTCATGCATATTTGGCCTCCTTAGTGTCAGACTCAGAGACAGATGCGCACGAGATTTTCATGCATACTAGGCCTCCATAGCTCCTGACCTATCGACCTGCCTAATTTACATTCCGGCAGAATTATCAGGAAATCAACTCTGCTTGCTTTCAAAGGGTTATCATAGAGGAAAAAATTTAGAAATGGAAATATTCATGTTTTCATGTTCGGTATTCTCAAAATTTTACACAATCCATGGTGTTTGATTTATTTAGCCTTTATTAAACAGTTCTAATAGTTGTAATAAGAACATAAAGTCCGCCGAGAACCTGTTTTATACGCAATAACTCTCCTCATGCCCCTGCGCTAAAAATAGCGACATGTAATACTATAAATACTAATAAAACAAACGGGGCGAGGCACTTTGAGAGGGGCGAGAGACGTCCTAGGGAGTTTTGGTATAAAATTACATTGCATCAGCTCAAAATCTTCTTGAAATATCGCCCGGAAATGATAGTGTTACACACAGAGAGAATGTATAAATTTACGACCTTGAACTTTGACCTTTTGACCTCAAAATCAATAGGGGTCTTCCTTAGGCCGCAGGGAGTTGTTATGTAAAATTTCATTGCAATAGCTCAAATGGTTCTAGAGATATCGTGTGGAAACGAAAGTGTTTTAACAGACAGAATTTGCTTATTTATGACCTTGACCTTTGACCTTTTGACCTCAAAATCAATAGGGGTCTTCTTTAGTCCATAGGGAGTTGCTATGCTAAATTTCATTGCAAAAGCTCAAAGGGTTCTCGAGATATCGTGTGGAAACGAAAGCGTTACAGACAGACAGAAAGACGGACGGACGGACGGACAGACGGACGGACGGACGGACGGACAAACCCAAATTAATATCCCCCACTTTTCAAGCGGGGGACAACAAACGGGGCGGGCACTTTGAGAGGGGCGAGAGACGTCCTAGGGAGTTTAGGTATAAAATTACATTGCATAAGCTCAAAATCTTCTTGAAATATCGCCCGGAAATGATAGTATTACACGCAGACAGAATGTATAAATTTACGACCTTTAACTTTGACCTTTTGACCTCAAAATCAATACGGGTCTTCATTAGGCCACAGGGAGTTGTTATGTAAAATTTCATTGCAATAGCTCAAATGGTTCTAGAGATATCGTGTGGAAACGAAAGTGTTTTAACAGACAGAATTTGCTTATTTATGACCTTGACCTTTGACCTTTTGACCTCAAAATCAATAGGGGTCTTCTTTAGTCCATAGGAAGTTGCTATGCTAAATTTCATTCCAAAAGCTCAAAGGGTTCTCGAGATATCGTGTGGAAACGAAAGCGTTACAGACAGACAGAAAGACGGACGGACGGACAGCTGGACAGACGGACGGACGGACGGACAAACCCAAATTAATATCCCCCACTTTTCAAGCGGGGGACAATTAACAGCGTAAAATATTTATCACATGTGTCGTTTCGGGGTAACCCGGTTTTATATACAAACAGAAGTAAATAAACACCGATGCAGCAAGATTAATTAAGGTCAAACGACTCTGCACTGATGTGTCCTCAGCGGGGAGTTTTGCATCAAGTCATCAATGATGTTCCCTGCATTTGTGTTAGCCTGATAGTACAACCTTTATTTATAGAATATATATGACGCAGACTGGGATACCTTGTGAAAACCTTTCGCACCTTTTGAATTGCTTTGTAAAATATTAGTCAAAGGAGCCAGGAAATATATTAAACAATTTAATATTTTGATAAAAATATTCGATTTATTATTTCTTAAGGTCCTGGTGTTTGAATGGATATTGTTTTCTCAACAGCGGCTGGGCGTACGTACTATATTTTTACTCGTAAACTCAATTTGGCGGTGAAGAAGCAGCATTTCCTGTTGCTCACCGTCGCAATAGCCGGGCATTGCTCTAAGAGCAATAAGCCTGGCTAAAAATGAGCTAAACATAGTTTCACAGTCGATAAACTAGGTTTATCGGTTGTAAACTATATTTTA